CGGAACACAGAACAAGGTCACCGTGATCAATGGCAAAACAAAATTTTCAAGGTATGTAAATATTTAATATGGCGATTTAGATTTTCAAAGTAGCCGACTTTCTACTTTAATACCAATAAGTAAGTTATTGGTGCATTGAGGTTACATAAAGAATTGCATCGTCATGGGATTAAAAAAAGAACAACATTATTCACACGGCAACAACAATGAATATTGAATTGTAACCTTCAGCATCAAAAATAATCCATCTACACCTTAGTAGAACCTCCCCAAGGAAACACTAGAGACAAATTTATTGGAAAAGATTTCCGTGTGTGTTCCTGATCACAGTTTTCTCTCCAGGGAACACAGTTTGCAATGCTTCTATTTGCATTGCATCTCAGTTGATGCCTTAAGAAAATTAAGGACAAACTTTATACATCTCAAATTCATTGACTTCAAGCATCGTCTTTAACCTCTAGGTGTCTTGTGTACTTTCAATGTCAATACTTACCATATACACTGCGTAAAAGGTCAAATGGCTTTTTCTCTCCTTCCTTGAGCGACATAAACAACTTATTTGATTTCTTTTGTGATGCCGACATATCAGACATAATGCATCTGTATAGAAAAGTCATTTGTTGGCGATAGGTAATGAAAGGTGATAAAGTATAAGATGATACAATCAAAAACAATGAATAAGTCAATCATAAGCTTGAGATTATTTCCATGCAATACCACTATACAGCTCCTTCAGGTTATACTCATAAAAAGAGAAGACCCAAAAATTGAAAAATCTACCATGACGAAGGCTTGGGCAACAATCGTATGAAAACGCAATTCCAACCCTAACATATTCAGTAACTGAGCAATAATTGACCTCAATTTGACTTTTCAGGAGACACCCAGGTGAATTTTATCCAAGAGTAGACATAAAATCAATCATAATCTATCTACATTCTCAAAACAGAGGACAATTAACACGTGATAATCGTAACCGGAAGACTATACAGCAAAAATACTAAAATTGCAAAGAAGATCACATAAAATAAATTTGACGATAAGCTGAGGACAGGTAATCACAACTTGAGCAACTATTCCCAGTGAGAGCGAATCAATCCGCGAACTTTTTGACATGTACAAATATCACATCTTGAATAAAGAGAGGAGTGATATCTGACTATTACAAACCAAATTTTTCGGAGCCGGTAAATAGATATGACTGTTTAGTTGCGAATTCAGCAATTTTAACTATCGAGTTTCAACTGAGAGCCGTTTGATACGTTCGAACACCAAGGGGTTTATGCTGGGTTTCTAAAATTTGTGACGTCACGCTTTGCATTTATTGGACATATGAATGGACCCAACTGATCGCGTTTCAACTGGATTTAGGTTTCATTTTGGGCTTCCTCCGGGTTACTTTTCCGTCAATGGGTTTCAACTGGATTTGGGTTACCTGGGCCGATGGGAAGGTGATATATAATGAAGGTAAAAATAATTTTAACATACTAATTGGCCAAAAATATACTAACAAGGTTGGTTTTAACCAAAAAAAAAAAAAGCTAATCCTTTAAAATGTATTGACTAATGCTATTGGATATCATATGATTGTCGTAAAAAATAACATACTTAAAGTAATATGTAGTTAAAAAAGTAGGCTTTCGATCAATAGAAGTTGGGTCTAGTAAAAGTATTAGTCCTTCACAACTTGATGAATCAAAATTCAAATCCCGCTAAAAGAAGTGTCCGCATTTAGTGTTTATCAGTGCCTCGAATATGATTATCTTTAATAGGAATATTCATATACTTACAAAAAAAAACATATTTCATTTCGCAATTGATTCGTTTCGATTCTAAATTAATAACTTTTTATTTCCATAGCAAACTTGTATAAGTTTTTGAGTAAAACTTAATCACAATACAATTTTAAAAATTAATAATTTCAATCACATAGTTAACAAATTTCAATTCTAAACTAATAGCTTTATGTCTCCCAAACACAGTTACGATAAGTTTTTAAATAAAACTTGATGACAATAAGACCCTAAAAATTAACATGTTCCATTTCATAATTAACATATTTCAATTCTAAATTAACAACCTTCTATCTCTATAGCAACAATTTTTTGAATAAAATTTAATCACAATACAACCTTAAAAGTTAACATGTTCCGTTTCTATGTTAAAAGCATTTTAATTCTAAATTAACAACTTTCTATCAACATAACATACTTATAATAAGTTTTTGAATAAAACCTTATCACAATACAATCTTAAAAATTTATATGTTCCGTTTCGCACTTAACATGTTTCAATTATAAATGAACAATTTTCTGTTAGGATGAAACTATGATGATTAAGGGAGGAAGATCAAATATAAAAAGTAACTCATCATTGCCTCCTTAATCAATTCTCCAACTTTGTACTGGTAGATGCTAAATTTTTCTTATTGAGGGCTCTTACACAATATGAAAATGATAGAAAATCATCATCTCTCTAGGTTTCAAATGAAATGGGCATTAAGGTCATTTCATAAAAATTTTAAAATCTTGCTTTAGATTATGTGACCTGATTAAGACTTTGACAAATTTAATAATTCAAATAAGAATTTGGATTATTTAAGTGTCTTTTTAAGGGATTTTTCCTAAGTTTTTTCAGATACATACCAAATTATATTTTTATAAATTATGAATAATCTTACCTTTTTAAAAATCTTTTTTATGGCCAACCACCTCTAGGCGGAGTGGCACCTAGTGTGTGCGTGTGTTGGTAATGTGCGGGTTCGATCCCGCCCCTCATGTAACCAAAAAAAAAAAATCTTTTTTATGATAGGGGAAGGCTTGGAACAAATGAGCTAGTTTTGTCTTTTGACGCTTTTCAGTTTTCATCAACATCCAAAATGCCTCAATCAAACCAGAATTCTACCAAGTACTGACTTAAAAAAAAAAAAAAAAGCCGTCAATATTTGAGTAGTTTTTATTTTTAAAAAAAAGCTATGGAATTAAAATATGAAAAAAAACCCTGAATTAAAATTAAAAGACTACATTGAAATATGAAATAAAATTAAAGACTAAAAATAAAGCTGCGAACAAAATTAAATTGTCAAACAAAACCGATAAATAAAATTAAAACATAACATTAAATTACTCAAAAAAAAACCTCCCCTAGACTTCAAATCGCATACAAATAACTCTTTTTGTATTTAAAACTTAATTAATAATTAATAAACCCTTCTAACTTTCCTCATATTTTCTCAAACTAGATCCCCTTCCTCCCGGTGCGTTGCCGGGTGCTTATCTTAATAGATTGAATATTTCATAATCAATTCTGCCCAACTCAAAACATTTTGCTTTTTAATTAATGTAAGTAAATACACAGAGCAAAGCATTTCCATATTATAGTTCTATTTATAAATCATTTTCAATATGTTTTATTCACATCAAGAAAAATCTTAAATTTTGTTAACTCTCATTTAAAATTCAATAATATTTTAACTTTATCCCTATTTAATATACATGATATCTTATATAAATAAAGTCACACATAATAATAAATAAAGGATAAAATAATACATCCATATAAAAAAAATTTTTCATGTCCTATAAATAGGGGGGGGAGTCTTCTCTCTATCCTATAAAATAGGACCAGAGGAGTATTGTCTTATTAAACTGAGGCAACAAAAGCGTTAAATGCATCTGTGAATGTACTGGTATTATTTTCACGTACAGTTTTCATTTCGTCCTCACAATTTGTTCTGTAGCAGAAAGACAGTTGCTCGGCTTCCCTCCAAAGCACGTTTAAAATATGGAGACATGAAGGAAAGGAAGGACCCTCATAGCATTTAAGGTTTTGCTAAAATTGTTCAGAAAGCATGTGCATTCAGGAGTACTTGGGTTCCAAAAATGGTTCTTTTGCTGTGTACAATTAATTACCCATAACCAATGCCAACAAAACTAATCTATAACCATTGGATCTAACAAAATGCCAACAAAACTAATCTACTCCTCTTGTCCTTAATATAGGACTCAATTGTTGAGTTGGTTTTGATTCTAAATATAAGACCTATTTCTTATATTTATCAATTTTCTCTAAATTACCCCTATGGATTCTCACTCAATCATAATCAAATAAAAGAGGAAGATGGGTATTAAGAAAGATGATTATGGTATTTTAGAAAAAACGTGTCACATTTCTTATAATTAACTAATTTACCTAACTTCCTTAATCTAATCAAATTAATTAAATAGGTCTTGTATTAAGAACTGAAGGAGTATAACGTAACCATTGGATCTAACAAGGTGTTTTTATATCATCAATGCTCTGTTAAACATCCTTTTAATTTTCTTTTTTGTAATAAGCTGTTTGTTGAGGATCCTTAATTACATGCATAGATAATATGGAGGTATCAACTTTAAATACAGTCTTTCTGATTTCTAACTAAAAAAATAAGAGCTTCAATGAAATTATATTTGTTTTTGAGTTAAGGAACAAAAAGACTTCATTTAATCCAACCTCATCTAAAAATGTCTTATGCTATTGACTAAGGTCATCTAATTTTCCTCATACTTCCTCAAGTTTTGAGTTTTGTTATGCATGCAAACCCTCTAACAGGAACATCTATGTGTGCCCGGGCCAATCAAATTTATTAACACAGAATTTATATGCATGAATCTATAAGATCATAAGAGGATTCATTTGTAAAATTTCACAATTTAAGGTAAATATCTACATATAAACAGGAGATTTATACGTATATAATTTTTGTAAACGCCAGCAAATCAAATCAAAATTTAACCTAAACCTACGATATGTTTGGTAACGTAAGTAACGAATCAACCTTCAAACCTAGTATAATAATCATCCTATAACTCAAAAAAAATTAAATTCACAGGAAGAAATTAAAACCCATAACTTGTATCTCTCAAAGCAGTAACCCCTTCAACCCCCCCCCCCCAACAATCCACCACATATAAAGAACCTTCTTCCTCCACAGAAATCTCCAACGCACCCTTCTTCCTAAAATGGGAAAACACAGTACTCAACTTCTCGTCTTCTGCATCATCGTTCTGATATGTTCTTCATGTGCAGTTAAAAAAAGCCTAGCAGAAGAAGAACCAGCTGAGAAGAAGAGATCTTGGAAAGGCCACGAGTTGCCACCGGAACCGTATAAGGGATACTACGATTGGCTGGGAAAGTGCGGCGAGAAGCTCACAGACAAGTGTGGCCAACAGGTGGCAGATTTCTTGTTCTATAAGAGAATCCATGTGAGCTATGTTTGCTGTAACAAGCTCGTGAAGGTGGCAGGGAAGAAGTGTCACAGAGAATTTGCGAAGACGCTGGCTCGTTCCAAGGACTTTAAGATGCATAAGGCTCAGATTCTGAGAAGAAGTAAGCAAACCTGGGCTCAGTGTTCTTTCATTGACAAGTGTGTGGCCAAGGCTGAATAAGAGAGAGGGGGGGTTGCTGAAGAAGATGAATAATATGAATGGAATTTAATTAAAGGCCTAAGAATATCGATACACACACACACACACACACATATATATATATGAGAATTTGATTTAACTGTGTTGCTGCATAATGATTGTTTTGGAGATATCGTTGTTAATCACGTTTGCTACCTCCGATGACATGTTTCTTTTTTATACGGATATTTAACTCTTTGGTTTTAGCCATCAACCAGTGTTGAGCATTATATTATTAGGAAATATATAGTAGTACAGAGTTACACACACATTCACACGTGTTTTATATACATACATACATACATACATACATACATACATACATACATACATACATACATACATATATATATATATATCCACAATGACTTGCCAAACAAAGAATAATCTCCCCTATGTGTGAGCTTTGTGCGTGGGTGAGAAAGAGAAACATGAGGCCCCATGCTTATGTTTGAAAAAGGAGGGGGGAGGAGAGAATCCTCTTACGTTTCGGTCCCATTTCCTTTTTTTCCCCCAGGCAAAATGATATTAAAATTAACAAAGCATGTACAAAGCTAGAAAGTTACAGTAGTAGAAGAACAAAAGGAGGAATTAAGTGCAAAGGAAAGAATAGGAAGACTGACAGAAGTAAAATGAAACGTAGAATAAGAGGACAAAAAAAAGGAAATACCATGCAGTAAGGAGCTGGACCAAACACCAAAAGCGTTGATATATGCTGTGAAGCTTTTTCTCGACAAGGATAAGGTGTAAGTGTGAATTGTCTTCTCCCAAACACTGACTATTGCATCTAATCCAAACCAAGGCAATTCTCAAACTCAAAAGAAGAAAGAGATTGGCAACTGAGTGTCCTCTGTTGACAAAAAAAAAGAGCGGAGGGCTCTTCCCCGAGAAATAGTAATGAGACAGTAGGACGTGAATCCTTTCCTCTTCTTTTCATTAAAATTGATAATCCATGCAGTGGTACGCTATGAGCAGGGATAGAAACAGGCCAGCTCAGGTCAGGCTTTATCCTTAACAGGTTAGGCCAGGTCAGGCTTTATCTTTAACAGGCTAGACATATTCAGTAACACACTAGCTTAAGCCCGGCAGGTGGCCTGTAATAAGTCTTTTTTTTCTAGCCTGAGCCTCAAAGCCTAGCCTGGCTTGAATTTGTTAAAAAAACCTGTAATTTTAAAATTTTCAAAATACATAATAAAAAATACATAAGCTAATATATAAAAAGATGTAAAATATACATACTGCATAATAATTATTTGTTATTATTATCTTTTATTTGAATTTTAATGTCATGAGTAATATTTTAAATCTTAATTACAGTTAATATTATTGAAAACAAGTTATAATTATATATTAAAATTTAAAATAAGACTAGATATAAGTATAAAATAAAAAATAAAAATAAGATAAAAAAAAGGCTAGGTCAGGCCAAGCCTAACAGGCTTTCTAAAAAGCCTAAGCCTGGCCTATTAGACTAAACAAGCCATCAAAAAAGCCTAAGTATTTTTCTATTTTGAAAAAAGCCAGGCCAGGCACAAGTCCTGACGGGCTGCCTGTAACAACAAAACTACTACACTCTTAAATTAATCAGTATTAAAAAGTTAACCATGATAGGAAAGAAACTTTGTAAAATATTTAAAAATGCTATCATGGTTATATAAACATCCTAAATCACACAAGATTAACCATGATAGAAAAAATTTAAACCAAACTATAAATATGTCTATCATGGTTAAAAGAGCTTTTCTAAATTAACTACATGCAAAACGAGATTCACAATGAATAGAGCTTTGGGCATTATGAACCTAGAATATCATTTTCACCCATAAGCCCATGATACGATTTTACTGAATAATACCTTTCATAACTTTCTAAAATCAAAAGTTATCTGATGTCAAAGGTCATTGTAACACCTCACCTAATTATATCAATATACGTAATAAAATATTTAATTTAAAAGTCCATACATATTTCTAATATTGCAAACAAGTCAAAATTTCAAAATATTTCTAACATAACAACAATAAACTATTAAAGTTTTATAGTCATGGCAAATAAAATATAACATAGCATGTGTTGAGGAGTACAAAAGCCTTCACAGCTCACTCCATTGGTGCCTTCCCTTGATTTCTACTAGATCTTTCGCCTGAAAAATGTTAATATAGGGGTGAGATCAAACATCTTAGTAACTACTGAAATTCTAACCTATACAAGCAAATCATATATGATAAACCAAAAATCCGTTTATATGTGTGTATAAATATACTAAAAATCACGGATTTGAGACATCCAATTCAATTTCATTTTCTTTTTAACAATATATCGATATCATTTTTCTAATATATCCAAAAATAATGCAATATGCTGCCTCCCTTATATCACTGTCCACCCTTATACCACTGACTGGAGCCATAGGCTAACACATAGTCCGATAGGAACTAATCCATTTTACTGAATTATTCCAAGCTCACCGATACTAGAGATATATCCGGCCAAAGATATAGAGCTCAAGCTCGGACTATGGCTCCCCTCCTTTGTGAATAGGGAGGTGTCACATGTCCCACAGCTCCAATGAATTCCCGGCCAAAGGAAAACATGGAAGAAGGGGCCCTGACAAGTGCCATCCACTGTGCACCGAGTGATGGCATACCACGTGGTAATTTTATATCCATGTAATTTCCTTCTATTCTTAACCCAACAATGCATGTCATATGCAAATAATGGTACATCATAAATATATTCTCAAATATATTATTAAAAATAAGATAGCAATAAAATTCATATACCATTTAACAGTATCTCATGATAATTTCATAGCTATTAATATATTTAAATATTGATCATAATTACTAGCAACAAACCTTAATAAAACAGGTAACATATCAAAACATTTATTTTACAAAAAATCATAATATTATATTTCAGTAATATAATAATTAGTAAATCCACAATATATTCATACACAATTCACATGTACAAGAAAGAATTTTCAGAGTTACCTGGTACTGTTTAGCTTACAAATATTCACACAAAGATTACTCCAAAATTCTCAAGTCTACAAAATTGCACATAAATATTTATTAATATAAACTCAGAACTACTCCAAAGCTACTCTAAAATTCTAAGACTACCCTCTAAACCAAAATTACATAAATATATTAACTCTCCCAAATCTAGGCATTTATAATAGATATTATTTTGAAAAATAATTTACATATAAGGCTATTTAAATTTAACAAAAGTATATATATATATATTTTTAATTATAAACAAACTGTAGCTTTATTTAATTTACAAAATTCTCAATTTATAATTTTCAAGCCTTCAAAAATTATTTCAAAAATATATATTTAACTTATTCAATATTTAAACCGATTAAAACCTCAATAATATATTAAATAACTCAAATAAATTATTTAACTCAAATTTAATCGGTAAAAACATATTCTAAATAACAAACTTTTCAACTAAAATCTTAGGGGAAAACCATATTGGAGGTACCTATACTTTCTCTCAATTTTTAATTTGGTACCTATGTGTTTTTTTCCCTTTAATTAAACATTTAATTTTATCTTTTTAGCAACATTAGCTCTTATAACTTTGTTCTATTGATATTTTTAGTCTCTACATAAGGATTAATGATGTTAATAGAGGAAAAATAAAGATTTAATTAAGAACAAAAAACACATAGGTACCAAATTGAAAATTGAAAAAAAGTATAGGTACCTCTAATATGGTTTTCCCAAATCTTAGTTTAAAATTCTCAAAATAATCATTCAACAAAAATAAACCGATTAAAATTCCTTAATAATGTATCTTTAAATTTCTACGGTCATATATTGTCAAAACTCCATATTTACTCTATACCCAAACAGTAAAATTTTCTCTAAACATGATAATGAAACTAATAATATAAAGATATAAATATATAGGAAATATTCATAAAGAAAATATGATAACAAGTAGTTTTGTGTACCTAAATGATCTCCAAAAGCGTCAGATACTCTGCAATTTAGCTTTCTCTCTCTTTTCCTCTCCGCTTCTCACTCTCTTCTCTCTTCCTTCACTCTCTTCCTCCTCCGTCTCCTCTCCCCCTCTTTTATCCTATTTTCCCTTCACCATCTAACTATCCCATCTCCCATTTTTTCTTCTTCAATTTAGTGCCACCTCCCTTATTTCTTCCTCCAATTAATTCTTGCGCCCATGTTTTCTTTGTTCTTGACTATGCCCAGCTTTTCCACCGAAGTCGGTGGAAAGCTGGGTATATTTTTTTTTATAATATAATAATATTATATTATTTTAATTAATTGATTTTGATTGATTTTTTTTTACCAGTACGTTACAGTCGTTGTGGATCCACACCTCATACAAAAAAAAAATCACATGCAAATACCTAGAGGCCTTCGGCTTTCTACTAGCAACAGTTATCAAAAGTATACTGTCAAAATAATCAATCTCAACCATATCAAAGTATGTGGAATGGGCCCTATTATGGCAATATACATCTATTCAACACAATCAAAAGGGTGAAACCACTACTATTTTGCAGTAGTAACTCCAGCTTCCGGAGCCTTCTCTGACTAACTCGAACGGGAACTATCACTTGGAAAAAAATGTAAAATCAACAGGGCAAGACAAAAGCCTCAGTAACTAATAGTCCTACCTATCAAACATATAATTAAGTGCTCGTGATGTGTCAAGTGAAACAATTGCCAATTCATAGTAATTAAAAAAATTTCACATTGTCAAAGCATATAACAAATTACAATCAATAATCCTTTCACATCCCTTATATCCACCCACCTTATATCCTCTGACTAAACCCATAGGCTAAATCCTCATCCATGTGACTGGTAATTAGACAAGCTCATCGATCAAGTGATGTGGACCGGCCAAAATCCACATAGCACAAGACCGGCCTATGGGTTCCCCGTCTAGTCTACTAGTGTCAATGCCCTATAATGAGTAATTGGGCTAAAGGACCA